TCGCCGTCCCACCGCAGTGACCAGGGCAACGGCGAGGGCTGCCAAGAGGGTGACCGGACCCCTGCCCGCCCGGGGCTGCTGTCGGGGGGCCCCGCCTCCCCGGGCTCCGGCCCGAAGGCAGCCCCGGGGCCAGGGGACCCGCCGGGAAGAGACGCCGGGAACCGGGCCCGTACCTGCCCAGCTCGCGCAGGGCCGGGATCATAGACGCCAGCTCCAGCCCGTGCTCGCCCATCGCGGCCCGCGCCGCCAGCCGCCGCCGCCGCGCGGCGCCCGCCCCGAGCCGGAAGGCGCCGCCCGCGACGGGCCGCCGCGAGGGCCAAACCTCCTCCCGGACGCCGCGCGCGCCCGCGCCCGCTCGGACGCCGAGGCCGCCTCCTTTAGGACCCGGCGGGAGCCGAGAGACCGGAAGGGGCGGGGCGAGGGCGGGGCGCGCTCGGCTCGAATTTCCCGGGCTCGCTGGCGCGCTTCGCGCACTCTGGGTCTCGCCGCCTGAAGTCGGTCGGGCTGCCCTCCCGGAACCAGCACCAGGACCCCCGGGGGCTGGGGGGCGAGGAGGGGAAGGAGCTCGGCGGGACCCAGCCCAGACGCGCTCGCCCCGCACAGGTGCAAACAGGCGAGGCCGCGCGGGCGAGCTCGGGCTAGAACCCGGGACTCCCCAGGCCACGCCCGCGAGGTCTCCCCCCGCGACCCCTCCCTCCTGTCTGGGGGATGGGAGCGTGGAGGTGTGGGGAGGGGGGGTCACTCCGAGATTTCCTTTGAGATGTCTCCCAACCTCCGACTTGAAAAGGAGCTGCAGTAAAAACGTGCCCGGATGGGCCCTTGAACTTTGTTCCACTGAAACGCAGTCATGAAAGTCTATAAGTGTATATCTCCCAGTGATTCATTAAAAATGAAAAATAAATTTAAAAAAACATGCCTGTTAAGGACAGGCCGGGGACCCTGGTGAAGGGAAGCTGACCCTGGGGCTGGGATTGGTGCTGGAACTTTGCATGCCTGAAACTCTAAAACAACTTGGAACAGCTTTGTAACCGGTGCGAAGGACTCTGCAGATCAAAGTGCCTTAACACCCCTCCCCCACCACCACCAAAAAAAATTTTTTTTGGAAAAAGCTTGAATTGTCTTTCTATGCATCCCAGGGACTCAGAAACGTTACTGGGCAGTCACCGGCTATGTTCTGTGTGGTGGAGATTTTTGTTTGCTTTCAACGAATCAATGGCTTGCTGACTCGACGTTTTCAAGCTCAACCCCATTTGCTTGTTGCCGGGAGGAAACAGCTCCCGATTGTCAACTGTCCAGTTATTAGTACAGGTGTGCTCTGTGCTGGAGTTAATTCTTTGGGGAGGTGGGGAATGATACAGTTGGGGTGAGGGGTGGTCATCAACGCGATGGAAAGATAGGCAATGGCAAATGAACAGATGGCCAACTTTGAGATCAGAAGGGCCGGTGTAAAGGGCTAACCTAGATGTGGAGGAATCAGAAAACTTCCTCTGGTTGGAAAAACAGTTTTGCTCCCAGGAGAGGGACAGCAGGGGGCGGGGGGCACTTACCTTGCCTGGAGCTGGTCTCTTCTCTATCCCTGGTACCACACAACGCTCCCTGAGCACTGCCAAGGTGAGGCAGCTAAACACCACATTCCTTAAAATTCGCTTGTGAACACATTGCAAAAGTGGGCTTATTTCCCTCAACAAAATCTTTGTTCCTATATACCGAGGACTAGTCGCTATTGTACCGTGTCCTGTAACAAGTCAGGGTCATACTGGCAAAGGCTTTCTTGGGGTGCTGGCCTGGAGGCCCGGGTCAGGCTGTGGGGAGCCTTCCAGGCAGTGGTGCTCAGCCCCCTGGGGTCCACGCTCTCTGCTAGCATAGCCGTGTCAGGGGCTTCCGGGTGGCACCTGCAGGTTGCTGGGGCTTGCTGCCCTGCTCTGGGGTTGCAGGGCCGGCTAGGGGGAGCACCCAGGGCTGGCTGGGGAGTGCCCCCACACTCCTGGCTGCAGTGCTGCGGGGATCACAGATGGGATCATGCTCATGCATGTGGGAAGCCAGGGACTTGACCCTGTGACCGGATGTTGGCCAGGCCTGGCGCCCTGGGCTTCCCATCCATCCACTTCCACACAGGAAGCCTCTCAACTGTTCTCCATCCTATAACCACTTTGGAAATATTTTAACACGTGCATTTTCATACCTGAGTGTCTGTTAGTGATGTGAATTTATATATTCCGTTATACACACGTCTCCTGACAGTACATTTGGACAGAATGAAGCTTGATTGATTCCTAGCTTCCTTTTATGCCCCTTTCATTCAGTGGGGGTGCGGTGTGTGGGTGGGGTGGAAAGCAAGAAGCTGCGAGGCTGAATTGAGTGGTCACTGTCCCTGAGACGCTGGTCCACATCAAGTCGAGAAAGAAACGTGGCGTGTGTGTGTGTGTGTGTGTGTGTGTGTGTGTCCAGGGATGGAGAGCGTGGGTGGGGAGTGACCACCAGATGGCGCTACAACCCACACAAAACCAAGAGGGATTGGTTCTCAGCTGCACATATGCAAGTGGTTAGAATCCTTTTTTTAAAAAAAAAAAGTTATTTTTGCTTCACTTATGGGATCATACCAGGATTTTACAGAATAACATATAAAGTATACACAAAAATATAAATCTTAAATAAATGATATTTTAAAAAATGAATACTTTTACAAATTCTATCTTGCCCCTGAATGGACTTCAATATGCAGAAATTTCCACACTCCTACTGAAGACACTCAGCACGTGCTTCCGGTTACTAATTGCTCTGCATCTGAAATTATTTTGGAGCTTAGAGCAGCCATTTACCTTTTCTAATTCCATCATCAAAGTTTTAAATCCCCCAAATATCGAATTAAAAATTCAGTGCATCCTCTCATGTTACTCTCCAGTGTGTGTGTGTGTGTGTGTGTGTGTGTGTGTGTGTGTGTGTGTTTGGGGCACCGGATGGGGCTCCAGGAACCACAAGGGGAGCGGGGAAGGAGCCAGAGTCTGCTGCATGCAAGGCACGTGCCTGCCCCCCGGACTGTCTCTCCAGCCCCTCTTCTTAGACTTTTTTAAATTCTTTCTAGGTCCCACCTGGCGATGCTCAGGAGTTACTCCTGGCTGTGCACTCAGGAATTACTCTTGGCAGTGCTTGGGGGACCGTGTGGGATGCTGGGGATTGGACCTGGGTCAGCCATGTGCAAGGCAAACGCCCTCCCTGCTGTGCTATAGCTCCAGCCCCTCTTCTTAGACTTTTATCCTCCTTAACAAATGTTCTCTGACCACCCCCCGCTTCTGTTTTCCCTAACATCCTTGTGGAAAGGACACCTTTCTTGGTCGTTTTTCCTCTCTCCTGGAGCTTAGTTATCTGTCCGGTTATGTCTTTTTGAGCCTTGAAGCCTCCTGCCTCTGCCTGCGCCGGAGCCTGCTCCTTATTCCTTCCCTTGTGGCTGGAGCGATAGCACAGCGGTAGGGCGTTTGCCTTGCGCACAGCCGGCCCAGCTGAGCTGGGTTCGATTCCTCTGCCCCTCTCGGAGAGCCGGGTAAGCTACCGAGAGTATCTTGACAGCATGGCAAAGCCTGGCAAGCTGCCCGTGACGTATTCGAGATGCCAAACACAGTAGCAAGTCTCAAGATGGAGACATTACTGACATTCCTGGGCCCAATTGAGCAAATCGATGAACAACGAGAGGACGGTGACCCTGGCCTGGAGTTAGGAGCAGAGTAAGGAGGCGGGGGCTGTGAGGGGCTTTCCCGCCAGGGCTGGAGCCTCCTGCTTCTCCTGAAAGTCTGCAGAGATGGGAAAGAAAGCAGTGACTGCGCCTGACCAGCCACACCTTCCTCCTCTCCTGCCTGTCTTCAGGCACAGCTGCGGATCCTCCGAATCCCCTTCTGAGGCCTGGCAGCCTCTGTCTGCTTCCAGCGGAAATTTCTTGTTTCTGAGATGTCACCCGTCCATTTGCTTCATTTGTCCTCTCAACACCTCTGCGTTGTTGCCCACCGTTTTCTTGGGATGTCCTACCTGCATTCTTGTTCTGTTATTATTGGGGGGTTGGTGCTAAGGGGTGGTGGTGGATGTCAGTGGTCGCTCCCCGGTGAGGGGGGAGGTCTGTGCCCAGAGGACAGGTCCCCAGCATCTGCAGGGACACTTTCTGGCTCCCCGGAGCCCGTCCCTCCGTCCAGCCTTGGATCCCGGGGATTCTGGGGGCGCGAGGCTGGCTTGGAGTTGATGGACAGGAAACCACCCGTTTGTCTTTCAGATGAGTTATTTTCCAGCCCCTTCGGCTTCATACGAGTGAGTCTCCGAGTCTCCTGGTCTCCAGCCCCCCCTAGGCTTTCCCGGGCGCCAGCGAGAGTCCGGCCCAGGCCGGAGACCCACAGACCTGAGCCGTCAGGGGGGCGTGGCGGGGTCAGCGGGGAGCGCGGCTTATCTGCAGGGACCGTGACTCAGACGCGGGCTCGGGGCTCTGCAGCCTGGCCAGGCGCAGCCGCTGGACGCGAGCAGGTGAGGGGACACTCCCGCCCGGTCACCGTGCCCCAACTCGCGCGGCCCCTCCGGGTCCCGGGCCCCCAGTCCAGTCGGACAGGGGCGCGCAGCTCCCTGGGTGCGTCTCCGGGTGCGCAGAAGGGGCCGGGAGCGACCCCCGCAACCCGCGCCTCCCCCTGCGCCCCACGCGCGGCCCGGGAGTCGGGGTCCCGCGCGTATACGGGGGTTGGGGTCCTGCTCACCCGGGGGTCGGGGTCCTGCGCGCACCCGGGGATCGGGGTCCACCACACCCGGGGATCGGGGTCCCGCGCGCACCGGGGTTCGGGATCGTGCACACCCGGGGATCAGGGTCCCGCGCGCACCGGGATTCGGGATCGTGCACACCCGGGGATCGGGGTCCCGCACAGCCCGCGGCTCGGGGTCCAGCACACCCGGTGGTTCCCGCCCGGAGCCGCATCCTGCGGGGAGCCGAGCGGCGGGCGGGGTGCGGCCGGGCATGCGCGGTAGGGTGCGGGGGGCGCCGCGGAGCCGACCTGCGGCGGCGGGATCCCGGCGAGCGGCGGCGGCAGGTAGGACGCTGGGCGCGGGGCCCACGGGCCGGCCGGCCGGCGCTTCGGCCGGGGCTCCCCAGGACCCGGGGCCGCGCTCCTGCCCGGCTGGGACCTGGGGACCGGGAGGCCGCGGCCACCGAGCGCCTCGGGGGCCCCGCCGGGCACTGGAGCCTTTTGTTAACTTTGCGCTCATGCTCCCTCTCTCCACCCTCTCCCTCTCCTCTCTCTCCCTCCCTCCTCTCTCCCTCTCTCCCCCTCTCTCTCCTCTCTCCCTCTCTTCTTTCTCTCTGCCTTTCTCTCTACTTCTCTCCCTCTTTCTCTCTCCCTCTCTCTACCTCTCTCTCTCCCTTCCTCTGTCCCTTCCTCTCTCCCTCTCCCTCTCCTTTTTCTCTTTCCTCCTCATTCCTTTCTTTCTCTTTCCCTCACCTCCTCTACTTCCTCCCCTCTCCCTCCCTCTCCCCCTTTTCTCTTGCTTCCTCTCTCTTCCCTTTCTTCTCTTTCTTCCTCTCCCTCTCCTCCACCTTTTCTCTCTCCCCTCTTCCCTCTCTTCTTTCTCCGCTCTCCTCTCTCTCCTCTGTCTCCCTTGGACAGGTTTGTTGTCGCCTGTGGTCTTGGCGGATCGCTGGGCTGGGGTGCCCTCTCTGCCTGCTTGCATTTCTGCTTTGGTCGTTTTGTGGTTTGCGGCATTAATAAATGTTAACTTTATTAACTGAGCGAATTTTAATGTCCGAAACTTCCCACATTCCAGCTTCGTTAGGACTTTCTGAAATTAAATACCCGCCACGTTCTACTAGACTGGTTTGGACCTCATCACAAGGTGTGTGTGGCGGTTCTCACTTTTCTCCCCTGTATTTTATCTTTTCTCCTTTAGGGGCAATATTTTACCGAGTTGAATATTTTCCCCCGTGGCGGCAATGCTGGGTCGGCTCTTTCTTGGATACTCTCTGAGTCATGAAGAAAGAAAAACTGTCTAAGGCCACGGGGCGCAAATCCAGCATTATCTAGGCCAGCTGTTAAACGCGTTATGTGGAGAGCAGGGGCTGGGAAAAAGTATTTTAAGAGCTGATGAGAAAGCTCTGGAAAGTGAGCACTGAAAACTCACCCCCCCCCCCCGCACCCCCATCCCCATGAATGTTTTAATGCAGAAATAATAGACAGTCGTTTCCTCTGGGATGGGCTGCCTTTGAGGTCAGCCAGGTCAGCTGTTTCAGTTTACAAATGAGAAAACTGAGACCAAAAGAGGTTGAATGACCTGCTGGCGCCCCAGCCCCTCCTTGGCCAAGGAACTTGGGCCTGGGTCCCGGTTTTCTTTCTTTCTCTCTCTTAAAGGGCCCTCCCTCCCTCCCTCCCCACTCCCCCTCACCTAGAGGTGAGAGGACTGAATTCCCTTTCTCTCTCGTCTGGCTTCATTGGGAATAACCCCAAATGTGAATTTACTGGGGCTTGTGAACCTCCCAAAGTGGCCCCTTTGGGGGCTGGTGCAAGTCTCCTGCCTTACACGAGGCCAAGCTCGTTTCTTCCCCAGCACCGTGCATGGCCCCCCACGTCCTACCAAGAGTGATGCCTGAGCAGAGCCAGGAGTAAGCCCTGAGCACTGCCAGGTGGTAGCCTGACCCCCTCCACCCCCACCCCCAAAGGGCCGCTCTCATTCATTCCCCTCCTCTGTGTGCTGTCTGGGGGACAGGCCATCCTCACTCTTCACTCACAGCAGACCTCGGCCAGAGACTGTTTGTCTCCCTCCCACCAGGGCGAAGTCCTGCCAAGGCTGCTAAGGGCGGCCTCCACCTGGAAGCCTTCCTGATTGCGGCAGCTGGACAGTGCTCCCCCCTCCCCGGAGCCCTCTGGCCTTGAGAGGTGTCTGTGCCGCTCGCACCCCCCAGTGACATGGAGCCTGTGTCCACCTTCCTGACCAACCTCCAGGCCGCTCCTGACGCTCCTGGCGGTGAGAGCTGGCAGACCTCCCGCTGACACAAAGCAAGCCGGTTATTCTCAGCCTCTTCCTCGGTGGGCGCATGGGGGGCAAGTTCTGATCGATTTGGAAAGGGATTTGGTGTGCGGGACCTACACCCTGTGGAGGCTGTAGCAAGTCACATCAGACACCGGGATGGGGTAAAGTCATGATAAGAAAGAGCTCGTAGGACGGAAGCGTGCGAGCGAACTTGAGGGCAGTGTGGCGGGCACAGATTTCAAACCAGGCATCAAGGAAGAAGCATCTGATGACAGAGCAGATGCCGAGAAGGACAGGCACGTGGGAACACCTTCTGGGCCTTGGGTGTTGGCCTGGAGCAACACTGTCCTTTTAATTTAAGAACTCCCTGTTGGAACATTATTTCCTTGGGGGGCGGGGGGTGGTCGGGGATCACACCCAGTGATGCTCAGGGGTCACACCTGGCTCTGCACTCAGAAATGATTACTGGTGGTGCTGGGATTGAACCCGGGCTGGCGGCATGCAAGGCAAATGCCCTCCCCGCTGTACTACCGCTCTGGCCCCAACGGACATCATTTCTGTTTCTTGCAGTTACTTGTTGATTTTCTTAGTTCCCGTTTCAGGGGAGGGCATCTCCAGATGGCACACGAGTGTCTCAGGATGCCAGGTGTGTCATTTTCAGGATCAGACAATCATTTCCATCATTTGGAGTTGGGGTGTGAACTGGGGCCTGGGCCACACGTGGAGGTGCTCAGAGCTGACTCCTGGCTCTGTGCTCAGGGATCGCTCTTAGTGGGGCTTTAGGGACCATATGTGGTACCAGAGATCGAACCCAGGTTGACTGTGGACAAGGCAAGCGCCCTCCCCGCTGTTTGCATTCTTAGTCCCCTGGCCGGTAGTTACAACACGCACACATGTGTTTTGGTGTCCAAAGGAAGGCATTGAGGCTTAGTGCGCTAAGGTGGGGCTTCATCCTGCTCACCCCCTCACAAGGGGGAAGCGGAACAGGTGGTTAACCAAGCAAGTGGGGATCAGCACCTCAAATCTGCCACTCCGCAGCCTCACCTTTTGAGGTGAATTCTGTGGCCCAGAAGCCCCGAGGAGAGTCTGCAGGGCAGGGGTGGGCTGACGGGCAGCGGGAGGCCGGGGAGGTGTAGCCTATTGGAGGAGGAGGAGTCCGGGTCAGGGTTTGGGCACCCTCAGGCCCAGAGGAGGCAGCCGAGGTCCACATCCTTGGACCCAGAGCCCTTGGCCCAGGTGCCCTGGGCATCTGAATGGCGGTCCTTGCCAGGGTCACCCAGTAGGACGGGGCGAGCTTCCGGGAGCGCTGAGATTAGGTTCTTGCTGGGCTGGCAAGTCCCCGCTGGTGCCTCCGAACCTGAAATCCCTGCTGTGGGGTGGAATATTTGCTTCCTTGGAACAAAGTTTGCAAATAGTCATTTTGCAAATCAAAACACAGCGTTTCCGTGGCGGGGAGCGTGCGGCCAGCGCAGCCGTCCCCCTGACCTTCCCGGCCTCAGTCTGCCAGGGTATCGTGCCAGGACAAACGCCAAGAGAGGGGCTGGTTTGAGGACAGTGCCATCCTGTGCCCAGCCAGGATTCATCTCCGGTGCCACAGGGTCCCCCAGTGCCGTAGGGGCAGCCTGGATACCCCGCAGCTCCAGGATGCCGGGGGTCCCTAGCACCACAGGGCCCAAGTATTATATTTTATCATAAATATCACAACCCATTAGTATAAAATGACCATGATGTCACATTCTCAAAATGACTCTAATATGAATAACTGGGCATTTTCCATGGGAGCAGGCACTGCGCTAGGGTCCTTATAAGCAGTGTATCGTTTGTTTCCCAATCTTTATAAACCAGCCCTAAAGTTTGGACAGTTATTTGGCCCATTTTACACATGAGAGGACTGAGGCTTAGAGAAAACTCACATTCTTGAGGTCCCACAGCTGACGGGCGACTGAGCTCTGGTGTTCGGTTTTTCTTTTTGGGGGCCATACCCCGAGGGGGGTGCTCAGGGCTGACTCCTGACTGAGCTCAGAAATCACTCCTGGAGTTGCCAGGAGACCTTACAGGGTGCCTGGGCTCGAACTTGGGTCGGCCGCTTACGAGGCAAGTGTGTGGGCTGCTGTCCTACCTCCCCAGCTCTGAGCTGCGCTTTGATCCCCAGGCTGCTGACTGAAAGCACGGAGAGCTCAAAGAATAAGTTAAGCAAACACCCAAACAAAATGCACAAAACGCTCCCCGTAGCCACCTGCACAAACACTGAGAATGGCCACGACGGGGGGAGGGGGGGGGGGCTGGAGCGATAGCACAGCGGCTAGGGCGTTTGCCTTGCACGCGGTCGACCCGGGTTCGAATCCCAGCATCCTATATGGTCCCCTGAATGCCGTCAGGAATAATTCCTGAGTACATGAGCCAGGAATAACCCCTGTGCACCGCCGGGTGTGACCCAAAAAGCAAAAAAAAAAAAAAAAAAGAGAGGGAGAATGGCCACCAGCCTCTCCGGGGCAGGCCCCTGCTTCTAGGGGCCTGAGGAGCAGAAAGAAACCCCAGTGGTGATAAACCTTTCTCTCTTGGGAGAAAATCATCCCCATGGGCTGGAGAGCGGCTGAGGGCGAAGGTGCTTGTGGGACAGACTGTGGGCCACTGCCTGGCGCTGAGTGGTCTCGCCCTACCGTGGCCCGGAGCCCAAACCAAACCAGGACCAAAGGCAAGCATGTTGTGTTCCTGAGTGTCTCTTCAGTTCCTGGTGCTCCTGGGAGCTCTCCCACCCTCTGTTGCCCAACCATGACCTGGAGGATGCCTCTTCGGTTGGGTGGGTGGGACACACGCAGGCCGAGGGACGCAGGGCGAGCAGCAGTTGGGAGGAATTGCCCCAGACTGTGCCGTCTTGGAACCGTGACTGGAAACTGCCGGACTCAGGTGGATTCTAAACTTTAACCTATCTCAAGCCTTTGAACCTTGCTCCTACCCTGGAAGAATCCAGGTCTGCACACATTCTCCCCTGCGCCTCCCCATCCGCAGGTGCCCAGGGCGGTGTGGACTCTGGGGGAAGCTAGGGTGAGAGGCCAGCGAGTGGGAGGTG